AACAGTTGAAGGCATGAGAAACAGGGTAGAACGATGGCTGGGAAGGGTAGTGTGGGGCGTGGGAGGGCCTCGGTGGTCTGTGAGCACGGTTAAAGGGTACAAAAATACAGTTACAATGAATAAGATCTAGTATAGCACAACAGGATGACTATAGTCAACAACAATTTATTGTATTTTTATTTTTATTTTTTGAGACAGAGTCTTGCTCTGTTGCTAGTCTGGAGTGCAGTGAAGTTATCTCGGCTCACTGCAATCTCCGCATCCCAGGTTCAAGCTATTCTCCTGCCTTAGCCTCCCGAGTAGCTGAGATTACAGGCGCCTGCCACTACGACCAGCTAATTTTTTGTATATTTAGTAGAGACGTGGTTTCACCATGTTGGCCAGGCTGGTCTCGAACTCCTGACCTTGTGATTCGCCTGCCTCAGCCCCCCAAAGTGCTGGGATTCAGCCGTGAGCCGCCGTTCCCAGTTTATTGTACATTTTTAAATGACTAAAATAACTGGATTGTTTGAAACACAAAGGGTAAACGCTTGTGATGGATACCCCACTCACCCTGATATGATTATTACATATTGCATGCCTGTATCAAAATATCTTATGTACCCCATAAATATGTACCTACTATGTACCCGCAAACATTAAAAATTAAAAATTTTTTAAAAATAAATTAATCAAATTCCACTCTAAGAATAATCAAGCCGAAAGTGAGGAATTACTTCAAATGCTTTGAAGCGGGTTCTTATCCCTCACTAATTACCAATACATTTGCAGGTCTCGGTTTCTTTGCTTTGTAAACATAGGCTTCTTGTAAGGACTGGGATTATACACTTAAAAAGCTTAGCACAATATTATTACTATTATGCTATCTACATTATAGATGAAACACTACAGATTATAATACCTACAATATATACTAATTGTATTATATATATATTTTTTGTCATTATGCTATTTACTATTGTTTTATTTGATAACTCTGTAGCTAACTTAACAGGACAGACAAAGGTACAGATCAATCTGGCCCTTACAAGCCGGCAGAGACGGGTACGAATTACCATGACAACAGCGCGCGCCTAGACATTTTCGGCTCGCGCGTTGTTTGGGAAGAAAAGGCCTAGGCTGCGTGTTGCGTCATCATTACGCGCTCGTAAGGTTTATCCGTGCTGTTTTGGAAGGTCCCGGCACGGCTACCGTCGGCCCACGCCAGGAATTATTTTTTTATTTTCAACCTTTGTTACATAGCTCTGAGGCTACAAGATCGTAAGTACTGAGGGAAGAAAAAACAAGCGAGCGATTGAACGTTAAAAAGATGCCTTAGCATACACTCCACCTCTGAACCTTCCTGTGTGCTCTTAATCCTATCAGCTTCCTCTCAGCTGAGATCGCGCCGCGTCAACTTCCGGGCGGGTGCCCGCCAGCACGGCCTCTGCCGCTCCCCTTCTTTGGCCCCTTTGTGTCCCCGCAGTGTCGAGGCGCGGGCCCTGGCAGGTCCTTTCTCGAGGCAGGGGGCACGGTAGCACAGGGAGCCTCTCTTTGTGGGCGGGCGCGAGGCCCGCTAGGGGGTTATACTGGGGAACGTGCCTGCGCGTGCTGGGGTAAGAGGAGGTTGCACGAGGGTCAGCTCGTGGTTTCAGTAAGGAGGGGCGGGCGGGGGAGGCGGACGAAGAGGAGTGAAAAGCAATGGAAATTTTGAAAAGATACCCCTCGTCCACCTTCTAATCGTTGTGGCCTAACAATGAAGCGCAGCCATAATAGTCCTGAGCCACTGGCATGTTTGCGGGCCCTTTATTGCCTTGGGAATAAACTGCTGTGGCATTGTATTTTATATTGTTTTCATGGTCTCTTTTCCTTTCTTTATTTTCCCCCTGCAGATAGTTCATTTAAAGCCCCCATCCCTGCAAGGTGGTGGTTTCTATCAATATGAATCTTTTCAACCTGGACCGTTTTCGCTTTGAGAAAAGGAATAAGATTGAGGAAGCGCCCGAAGCAACCCCTCAACCTTCCCAGCCTGGCCCTTCTTCACCAATTTCTCTTAGTGCTGAAGAAGAGAATGCTGAAGGGGAAGTTAGCAGGGCAAACACTCCTGATTCAGATATAACTGAAAAAACAGGTGAGTTACAATGTTGAAATTGATGTAACATCAAAGACAGTTTTTAAAAGATGAAAGGCAGAAGGGATTAACATTTTTATTCTTGATGTCATATATATTGATGCATTGTCCTGCGATGTGCCCTTTTAAATTCAGCTTTGGGACTGCCGTAAACACCATGTACCCTCAACTGAGCATCCATCCGTTGTTGCTTCAATTTTATATGAGTTCTTGGAATATGGCCCCATAGTGGAAGTTGAAATTAGAATTTAGGTCATCCATAGGTCAGAATGGTTGCTGCTGGAAGAGCCATGTAAGTGATTCAGTTCTATGATAAACTTTGAGGCTATTTGGCCAGACAGTTTCATTCATTCCAGTATTCCCTCAAAATATTGATCATCTACTACGTGCTAGACATTGAGCAAGGTGCCTAAAGACAACCTCTGTACACAAGGGAAGATCAGATCACATCAAGTTATTGCATCCACCTGACTTCCTGGATGTCCTCAGAATGCAAATGAGTAATTGGTATTCTTCATGGTGAATGAACATTTTTAACCTCATCAGCAGATTGTCAGAGACAAAAGGATTTGAGGATAAGCCAAAAATTAAGATTTCCACTCGAATCTATGTTCATTGAACAGTTAACTATTAGAGGAATATATCTGAGCTCTTGTTGTATTATAGGCATAGTGATAAGTGCTTCACATTCTGTCATTTAATTTGCACAATAATCCTACAAGATAGGTATTAACTGACATTGAGGTTAATGTGAAATGAGATTCAGAGAGGTTATTAGGAACTTGGTAGAGCCTGAACTCAAGTCCTGGCAGTATGATTCCTGAGCATAAACTCAATAGTTATATAGTTTCTTGTGAAAGGTGAAAGGAATGTTAGAAGTTGTATTTTAATATTTATTTCAGTAATATCTTTTTTATGCAAAACTGTGTTTCGTAAACAGCTTTTAACCTAATGTAGACTGAAAGATTGGTAACACCCACGTTTATCCTTAGTATCTTTTTGTTTGCTACTCTTCTCTTTAAATGTAATGATGATGGCAGATCCTCTACAAATTATCATTAGAATAACATTTTTAAATACTGTGGTGTAATTGGAACTTGGCGGAATGATTTGGTAGATTGGGTTAGGAGTCAGATTTACAAAGGCTTTGTCTAAGTAGTTTTGCATTTAAATGCTATAGGGAACAACTGAAGGATTTTAAGCACCAGGATTTTAAACCCTGTGTCCACTCTTTGAATAGATATTTGACATCCAGGTATTTTAATGCTTTTCCAATGAATATATTCATCTGTTTCCTCTGTGGTTAGACAGGGCAGACAGGCCAAGGTTTTTACACGGGATTTTGAGTCCATAGAAGCTTATGCTTTTTCATTTTTGTTAAATGTGGGACATTGGACAAGTGACTTGAAATCCGTGATCCACAATTTTTTCTTCTCTGAAAGTAAAAACAGTTTATAAACTGGATTTCAGTGGAATGTTTTAGTTATTTATCAGTATTGGTCATGTGAAATCTTTAATTTCCTTTATTGATCAGAAGATATTTTTCTGTTTTTATTTCTTTCTTATGAGACCACTCAATTTCTCTTTATTGGGACTTTTTTCCATACATAAATTCTGCTTAGAAACTGAGATTGCTTTAGGAATTACATGGTCAGCCTTGTTGGCTTTGGGAAATAAGAAAACTAAGTTTGTTCTAGGAATGTTGAGAATTAATCTTTGTAGGAGTGGAGCACTTTGCTTTAATAAAAGATTGTTGTAAATGATACTATGAACTTTGGAGAATCTTGAAAACTGAGAAGTTTAGATTTTACATAGTAAGTATTAGGTATCCATTTGAAGACCTTACAGATTGAATGAGGAAATGATGAAAAAGTTTTGAAAGTCAGTTTAGCAGTAGTGACTAATACACACTGATTGAGGGTAGGGATTGAAGGGAAAGAAATCATTTAGGCAACTCCCATAATCTGAGGTTAATGATAGCTGTAGAAATGGAGAAGAAGGAGATAGAGAGATTTCAAAGTAGCTAAAGGCAGGGTTTAGATCCCTGATAGGAATGAGATAAGATGAATGGTAAGATTTTTATGTGAGGTGGCTCAAGCCTGTAATCCCAGCACTTTGGGATACAGAGGTGGGCAGATCACCTGAGGTCAGGAGTTCAAGACCAGCCTGACCAAAACCCCGTCTCTACTAACAATACAAAAATTAGCCAGGCATGGTAGAGCGTGCCTGTAATCCCTGCTGCTTGGGAGGCTGAGGCACAAGAATTGCTTCAACCTAGGAGGCAGAGGTTGCAGTGAGCCTAGATCATGCCACTGCACTCCCGCCTGGGGGACAGAGTGAGACTGTATCTCCAAAAAAAAAAAAAGGTAAATGTCTTTAAGAATTCAAGAATTCAAGTAAGAATCAAAGGTCCTGCCAGGCGTGACCTCGGGAGGCCGAGGCGGGCTGATTACCTGAGGTCAGGAGTTCAAGACCAGCCTGACCAACATGGAGAATCCCAGTCTCTACTAAAAATGCAAAATTAGCCGGGTATGGTGGTGCATGCCTGTAATCCCAGCTACTTGGGAGGCTGAGGCAGGAGAATCGCTTGAACCCTGGAAGCAGAGGTTGTGGTGAGCAGAGATCATGCCATTGCACTCCAGCCTGGGCAACAAGAGCAAAACTCCGTCTCAAAAAAAAAAAAAAACAAAACAAAGTTCCTGCCCCCAGGTGCTAATTTAGCATGGGGTCTAGGGGGAACTGAGGAAGCGGGGATTCAGAATTGAGTGTTGGATCTCTGGAAAGTACAGGATACTGAAGTAGGTACTAGAGATGAAGACTGGTGAATTATGAGTAGGATATGACCATTGACCTTACTTTAACATGTGGTAACTTTTCATACTGCCATTTTGGGATAATGCTATGTTAGTTTATTTACAGTAAAGTGTCAGGTCAAACTAAGTTAGGTTACAGGACAGAAATTGTATGTAGTAGAAGTTACCTGTAATCACTCTTTTTTGACTAATCCTGTTATTTTATCTAGTGAGTTGACTTCATTTCCTACGACCATCCTTCAGTTACTGTGCCACCACCACATAGTTTCTTGAATCTGTCCAGCAAGGTCCCATTTTGCTTCTTCCAGTTTGCTCTTTTGCCTGGAAAACTCTTCCTGCTGATATTTGCATATGACTCAGATGCTTTGTTTCATTAAATCTCAGTAAAATGTCGCCTTTTTTAGAAGACCTTCTTTGATCACCCTGTGAAATAGCCACCCACACAGCCCACCCAACCTCAGCTTTACTGTGATTTTTCTTTATAGTGTTTATCACTAGCTAACCTTTCTTTTTTTTTTTTTTTTTTTGAGACGGAGTCTCGCGCTGTGTCACCCAGCCTGGAGTGCAGTGGCGCGATCTCGGCTCACTGCAAGCTCCGCCTCCCAGGTTCACGCCATTCTCCTGCCTCAGCCTCCGAGTAGCTGGGACTACAGGCGCCCGCCACCACGCCCGGCTAGTTTTTTTGTATTTTTAGTAGAGACGGGGTTTCACCATGTTAGCCAGGATGGTCTCGATCTCCTGACCTCGTGATCCACCCGCCTCGGCCTCCCAAAGTGCTGGGATTACAGGCTTGAGCCACCGCGCCCGGCCGCTAACCTTTCATTATATAGTTGTGTATCACTAGCTTACGTTATATAGTTGTGTCTCCCCTGTTAGAATGTATGATTCATGAGAGCAGGACCTTATCTGTCATGTTCACCTATTTATCTCCATTGTTCAGGGCAATGACTGGCTTGTGGTAGGCCCTCAAGTGCATTGAAGTAAAGATTATTGCATGATGAGTGGGTTATTAGTACTTTATACATTTCTTTAAATTTATTATTTATTTGTTTTTAGACAGTCTCACTGTGTTACCCAGGCTAGAGTGCAGTGGCAGAATCTCGGCTCGCTGCAACCTCCACCTCCTGGGTTCAAGTGATTCTCATGCCTCAGCTTCCCGAGGAGCTGGGACTACAGGTGCCTGCCACTATGCCCAGCTAATTTTTGTATTTTTTGTGGAGATGGGGTTTCACTGTTGGCCAGGCTAGTGTCAAACTCCTGACCTCCAGCAATCCACGTGCCTTGGCCTCCCAAAGTGCTAGGATTATAGGCATGAGCCACCACGCCTAGTTCTATACGTATTTATTTATTATTGTTATTTTTTTTGAGATGGAGTCTTGTACTGTTGCCCAGGCTGGAGTGCAGTGGCACGATCTTGGCTCACTGCAACCACCGCCTCCTGGGTTCAAACAGTTCTCCTGCCTCAGCCTCCCGAATAGCTGTGACTACAGTTGTGCACCACCACACCTGGCTAATTTTTGTATTTTTAGTAGAGACAGGGTTTCACCATGTTAGCCAGGCTAGTCTCGAGCTCCTGACCTCAGGCAATCTGCCTCCTCGCCCTTCCAAAGTGCTGGGATTACAGGCGTGAGCCACCACGCCCATATTTTTAAATACGACCTTAAAATAATCCCTTTAGCCATCAAGCATTCTTTGGCCATGGTTGCTTGAAGCTTCTTTTGGTACAGGACATCCTCTCTAATGCCCCTCTAAATCCCAACCAGCCTTTGGATTTGAGGGTATACACTTAACCTCTGCCCCCTGATTTATTTTACTCTTCTCGGTGCCCAAAGTTGTCAATGATTGTTATTTACACATTATTTCTCCTTTTTTTCTTTGACTTTTGGGAGTACAGTGAGTTTGGAGGGATTGAAATAATGGCAGGTGAAAGGGAAGAGAGATCCTACTATATTTTATGAATAAAGAATAAAAATGAGTGAAGCCTGATCCTCCAAGAGCACCAGGAGAAAATGGTATGTAAATATATAGTTAAAATAGTATGGTGTGATAAAACCATATAATAGGGCAAAATACTAAGCAAAGTAGAATCACTATCTCTAATTCACAAATGATTAAATTATCCATTCTTCAGGGGAGGATCACAAAAAGTCGCAGAGATACGACTTTTGGAGTGGACTCTAAATAATGAAATCATTGTTTACTGGGGGAACAAATGACGAGAGAGTTGAAAATATATGTTGCCTCGAAGAGTCTAATATGTGTATGGAGGGTCGGGGGGGATTATAGAACAGGAGGTTTTAGACAATATAGATGAAACCGAAAAGATAGAAATGTAAACTGTTGGGTTGTGAGGGGCCTTTATATCCTGTATCAGGGAAGATAGATCTTATTCGGTACACATCATAGAGCATTTCGTTATGGAAAGGTTATTAGTGAAGCTGTTGTATTGATTGAAGTCTCAATGTAGGGAAATGATTATAGAGATGACAGAGGAGGCAACTGAGGGGAGTTGTAAATGATATGCATTTGATGATATTAGGTGATCAGTTGAATGTGGAGGATTTACAGATAACTCAAATGTTCCTTGCTTGGACAGCTGGAGGATTGACACCATGGACTGAAATAAGAGGTGAGTTTAGGAGAAAGATACTAAAAAGTATGCTGTGTTTGCATTATCCATCTTGTTTTAATACCGAGGTAGTGGATGGTTGAATATTAGAGTTTAGAGCTCAGAGAGTGGTCTAAACCTTAGAAGTCAACTTGGGACTCATCGTTATGGTAGTTAACAAAAAATGTCCTAAGCAGAGTGTACAATAGAAAACATCATTTGACAATGAGCAAAGGCAGGAAAACCGATGAAAAATTTGGAGGATAACTAGAATAGTCACAGAAAATGATAGTGTCCTGGATACCTAAATACCTAGTTTGGTATTTAGTTGTCCAGTAACAAATCCTGTAGAGAAGTCGAGTGGGGCCTGATCAGTGACCAGTTTCCTTGGAAATTAAAAGCGTTTAACAGTTTCAGTAGAATGGGTGATGAGATAGAGATTATTCATTCAGGAAGAGAGAAATAGGTAACTTGATTGGGAAGCAACGTCAGGAAAAGATGTTTCAGGATTATTGAAAATTGAGTGTTTTTTTGTTTGGCTTTGTTTTGTTTTTGAGCCAGAGTGTCGCTCGTTTCCTTCCTTTTTAAGACGGAATAATATTTCACTGTTTGCCATAGACAAATTTTACATTTTTATGCGATCAGCTTGTTCATCCTTTCCTGTAAGTCTTCTGCATTCCCCATTACCACACTATAAATATACTCCAGTTGCCCAGGCTGGAGTGGCAGTGGCAGGATCTCGGCTCACTGCAATCTCCGCCTCCCATGTTCACGCCATTCTTCTGCCTCAGCCTCCCAAGAAGCTGGGACTACAGGCGTCCGCCACCACACCTGGCTAATTTTTGTTTTTTGTATTTTTAGTAGAAACCCAGTTTCACCATGTTAGCCAGGATGGGTCTCAATCTCCTGACCTTGTGATCTGCCCACCTCGGCCTCCTAAAGTGCTGGCATTACAGGCATGAGCCACTGCATCTGGCTGAGCGTATTTATTAACCAAGGGCAAGAAGCTAGTGGAAAGGGAAGGACTGAGGGAGGGAGGTATCTGAAGAGAGGCATCAAGTGATGGGAACTGAAGAACAGTTGGGCTGTTTAACTGTGCAAAAGAATAAAGACATATTTTACCTGGGGGGGATAATTGAAGGAGATAAAAATAGATGGGTTCATAGATTATTGTGGCGTTGGAGGAATGGAGGAAAGTTTTAGTGTATGTTTGATGAATTTATTTTTTTTTGCTGAAATAGATTTAGTCCTCTAGCGTGGTTGCCTCTTCAAGGTGATTGTCCTACTGAAAGTAGCACTTGTTGGTAAGTGAGAGACATTTTTAAAACTATACCAGTCGTCAAAAGGATTTCTTGAGAGTATTGCTCTGCCACATACAGATTGTATGATCGTGAGTAAAAAGTCAACTGTGTTTGGATCTTACTCTCTTTTCCTGGCTATGCTTAGTTTTCTGTATTCCTTGCCCACATTAAAATGGTTATTATCCTTTGAATGATGAAACTGAATGTATCATTTTAGCTTCATAATTCCATGACCATTGCGCAATACTCAGTCTTTTTGTGTGGTATCTGTGACCAAAATGTGAATCATCGTTAAACCTGTAGATAGTCATTCTGATTTCTTAATGTCTGTTAATGTTAATTAAAAAGCAATACTTGGTTAAAGGGTTAGTGCTGAATCGTTGTAACAGAAAGTACAATAAGTACTCAAACGTAAGTAGAAATCTTAAGTGCATTTTAAATGTACATTTATTTGGCTGGGCACAGTGGCTCATACCTATAGAGTCCCAAACTTTGGGAGACCAAGGTGGGAGGATTGCTTGAGACCATGAGTTCAAGACCAGCCTGGGCAACGTAGTGAGACCCTGTCTCTACAAAAAATGAAAAAATTAGCCAGGCATGGTGGTGTGCACCTGTAGTCCTAACCCCTCAGGAGGCTGAGACAGGAGAATTGCTTGAGCCCAGGAATTTGAGGTTACAGTGAGCTATGATCACTACACTGCATTCCAGCCTGGGCGACACAGTGAGATACCCAAAATCTCCCAGAAAGGGGGGCTGGTGGGGGCAGGGGTATATAAGTATTATTTTAGTCATTGCCACTTCACCCTACAAAAAAATTTCACTGGTTTGTATCAGACTACATCTTGGTTTTCTGATGTCTGCTTTTTCATACCTGTTTAAAATATTGCAAACCTTTATTATCTTTAATAGGCAGAAGTATGTTATTGTTGCTTTTTCTTTATTTTTAAAGTTAAGTATGTTTTCATAAATTTACTGGCCATTTGGATTTTTTGTGTTTCTTTATGCTTTTATGTTTTTCTAATAAATGTCTCTTTCTGATAAATTATTTGTAAGTATTTTTTAAATTCCATGTGTCTTAGTCTGTTTGAGCTGCTGTAACTACCATGGACTGGGTAGCTTATAAACAGTAGAAATCTACTCTTGACAGTTTTGGAGGCTGGGAAGTCCAAAATCAAGGTGCTGCAAGATTAGGTATCTGAGGGCCGTATTCCTAGACCACGATCTTTTTGCTGTAACCCCATGTGGCTGAATGAGTGAGGGGTCTCTTGGGCCTCTTTTATAAGGGCACTAATCCCATTCATGAGTACTCTGCCCCCATCACCTAATGGCCCTTCCTCCTTCCAGCAAATGTCACCCACTAATACCATTACCATAGTGGTTAAGATTTCAACATACCGTTTTGGGGAGTGGGGCACAAACAGACCATAGCACCCCCTTTGTTGTTTGCCATAGAAAAATTTTACATTTTTACTCGGTCAGCTTGTTCTTCCTTTCCTCTAAGTCTTCTGCATTCCCCATTGCCACACTATAAATATACTCATTCATATTTTCCTCTAGTATGTGTGTTAATTTTAAAAATTGTGATAAAATACACATAAGAAAATTTACTGTCTCAACCGTTTTTAAGTGTACAGTTCAGTACATTCAGTTCAACACATGTACATTGTCATGCAGCCATTCTCCAGAACTCTTTTCATCTTGTGAAACTGAAACTCTATACGCATTGAGCAACTACTCCCCATTTCTGGATTCCCCCAGCCCTTGGCAGCCACCATTTACGTCGTCTTTTCATGAATTTGACTATTCTAAGTATCTCATTAAAGTGGAATCATCACTTAGCATAACATCCCCAGGATCCATCCGTGTTGTAGCATATATCAGAATTTCCTTCCTTTTTAAGACGGAATAATATTTCACTGTGTGTATATACACATTTTGTTCGTCCATTCATCCATCAGTGCACACTTGGATTGCTTCCACATCTTGGCTGTTGTGAATTGTATTGCAGTGAACATGAATGTGTAAATATCTCTTTGAAACCCTGCTTTCAGTTCTTTTGGTTGTGTATCCAGAAGTGGTATTGCTGGATCATATGGTAATTCTATTTTTAATTTTTTGCATAACCTCCATACTGTTTTCCATAGTTGCTTCACCATTTTACATTTCTGCCAACGGTGTA